ATATTCGTTTGACATCAATGTTCTTCCCTTTTCTTCAGATTGTTTGTATTTTTTGTTAACAAACATAATAATAAACAATTTTTATTATAGTAAATGAAATAATAATTTGATCTGAGTAAGAGTTTTTTTCCCTCCCGATTTATAAAAAAATAATATTATTTTCGACATCTGCGTAGCTGAATTATGGAAAATCCGTTATTAAAACTTTTATAAAGTTTAAATTCGCAGGCCTGTGTAATCTAGTCAAAGGAGATGCACGTTTGATACTATATATATAATTTGAACCATAGTTTATTTAAAGCAGATACTCATCCTCTTAAGTATTTCAGTTTTATAGATGTAAGTTATAACGAAAGTCTTCAAGATAAATGAAGATCATATTGATAACAGACTTAACAAACTATCCTAACGACGGTTTAAAACTATGTGTAAAAACCTTAAGGAAGACACTGGTCTGTATCGAATCGTTTGGCAGGCTTTTTAACTATTAGGTTTAAATTCAGTTGTTTTAACCTTTTGTGTTGTTAAATTTAACACCACATGAACATGTCTGATATGCTTATTTGAAGAGAAGAGTTGACAACATTACAGTGAAGAATCTAAATACATATTATGTGTATATACTACAGTGTCTGTCCATCAATTTTCACTCTCCATAATTTTAATATTAAGGACAGAATACTTCAATATTAATATAAAATAGCATTATTATTGTTGTGAAAAGTAATTAAAAATAAGCCCTTCAAGCAGAAAAACGTAAATCGAGTGATTATAGATCAGTATTTTGAGGTGAACAGATTTAGGTTTAGTCATACACATACACATGCACACGAGACTAATGAGCATTGAGTGTTTGTATGACAGTAGGTTCTTGTTTACGTAATAATGGAATAGTTGAAAAATAGAAACTTCAACACTATCTATAAAATCCATTTGGAATTTTCTACTCGTTACATATCGTTTACTTTCTAACACGGCTAAGACTCTCGTTAACACCGGAATATGGATTTTGCGTTTATTGGAGATACGGTTTTGTTCTCCGAGAAAGAAAGTAGGGATACTTTAGAAAGGAATAGCGCAATTTAAAACTCCATGGTTACCACCACCGTCTTTTGTTTAGATACGGTTTTGTTCTCCGAGAAAGAAAGTAGGGATACTTTAGAAAGGAATAGCGCAATTTAAAACTCCATGGTTACCACCACCGTCTTTTGTTTAGATACGGTTTTGTTCTCCGAGGAAGAAAGTAGGGATACTTTAGAAAGGAATAGCGCAATTTAAAACTCCATGGTTACCACCACCGTCTTTTGTTTAGATACGGTTTTGTTCTCCGAGAAAGAAAGTAGGGATACTTTAGAAAGGAATAGCGCAATTTAAAACTCCATGGTTACCACCACCGTCTTTTGTTTATTCTCCTACATCACACGAGAAATTCACTTTGAATGTTGTTATTTTCACTTACCCTGATGTAGGCACAATGATTAATTCAACTAATCATTACATTTTTTAATATGCTTAGTGGTGAAACTTGCTATAACCAAAATAAATGCGTCTTGCTTTAAGCTTTCTTTTTTCGTTGCACACGTACCATAAGCTTTTTCAAAAGTACATCAGGATCTCTGTAAAAGAGGCCAGGATAGTAAATGTAATGCTCAACTGTATAACTACTAATCTGCTCACCGGAGGAAAAGGAGACTTCGCTGATGAGGATCCAACGGGAGGCGAATGTCAACTCGACCTTTACAAACTTGCCAATCCGGTGATGTAAGAAGATTGTCACATTGCGAGCCTTGTCGCTATACGTGTCGGCCATGTAGGAGAAGCGGAGAGGATCATCCAGGTAGTACTTGCCTCCGATGCTGAACCATAGCCTGGCGGTGGAGAATACTTGAACATCTTTGGTGTACAGATTGTTACAGTGGAAGTAGAGTGAAGAAAAGTTACGAACTGAGTCGAAGGCAAACACAATCTCTAGAGGCCTGGAATAGGATGTGTCGTTCTTCCATCCCACCCACTCATAGCCTGACAAAAAAAGAGAAAATGACAAGAATAACTCTTGTTTTATGGAATCGGTCATAAAAATAAAAATATGTAAAAAGACAGATAGTTGGGAACATAAAGAGATTAGAAATTAGTTAAGTAGTAGATAGGTAGTATTTGATAGGTAGTGGTAGATAGATAGTGTTAAATAGGTAGTGGTAGATAGGTGGTAGGTGATAGGTAAAAACAGATAGGTGGTAGTTGATAGGTGCTAGTAGATAGGTGGTACTTGATAGGTAGTAGTAGATAGGTGGTGGTTGATAGGTGGTAGTAGATAGGTGGTAGTAGATTGGTAGTGGTAGATAGGTGGTAGTAGATAGGTAGTGGTAGATAGGTAGTAGTAGATAGGTGGTGGTTGATGGGTAGTAGTAGATAGGTAGTGGTAGATAGTTAGTAGATAGATAGTAGTAAATAGGTGGTAGTAGATAGGTGGTAGTTGATAGGTAGTAGTAGATAGGTGGTGGTTGATAGGTAGTAGTAGATAGGTAGTGGTAGATAGTTAGTAGTAGATAGGTAGTGGTAGATAGGTAGTAGATAGATAGTAGTAGATAGGTGGTAGTTGATAGGTAGTGGTAGATAGGTAGTAGATAGATAGTGTTAAATAGGTAGTGGTAGATAGATGGTAGTTGATAGGTAAAAACAGATAGGTGGTAGTTGATAGGTGCTAGTAGATAGGTGGTACTTGATAGGTAGTAGTAGATAGGTGGTAGTAGATAGGTGGTGGTTGATAGGTGGTAGTAGATAGGTGGTAGTAGATAGGTAGTGGTAGATAGGTGGTAGTCGATAGGTGGTAGTAGATAGGTAGTGGTAGATAGGTGGTGGTTGATGGGTAGTAGTAGATAAGTAGTGGTAGATAGATAGGTGGTAGTAGTAGATAGATAGGTGGTAGTAGTAGATAGATAGGTGATAGTAGTAGATAGGTAGTGGTAGATAGGTGGTAGTAGATAAGTAGTTGTAGATAGGTAGTGGTAAATAGGTGGTAGTAGATAAGTAGTTGTAGATAGTTGTAGTAGATAAGTAGTGGTAGATAGGTGGTAGTAGGTAGATAATATAGACAGCTACTCGTATTCATATGTAATCAAAGGGATTAAAAAAGTGAGCATAATTGAATATGTTAATGAAAATATAAACCAGTAGGTTAGCAGATATATTGATAAATAAATATCTTGAGAGATAGAAAAAGTACATAGTATTAATGTAATGTGTAATTGGAAGCTTGAGATATTAGAATATATATTGTCTGTTTACAAGTTAGTGATAGTGAGAATCCAACGTTTACATATTTTAGAAGACAGAAAAATATATAAAAACAGAGAATCTTATACAATAACAAAGAACCGAATCAAAATGAGACACTTAAGGCTATCAAAAATAGATGGATTTTGTAAACTGTAGCTTACTGATTTAAACAGTGACCCTTTCTGTAACCAGAAATAGGCAAACGATGAAAGATCACATCCGCCAGCTGATATATCGGTTGTTCTTTTCACAATGAGAAATAGTATAGGAAGGTAAAAAATATTTATGTTGCATGTAAAAACATTATATTAGATGCAGTTTAAGTTTTAACTGACATTATGGTTATATCGTGAAGAATTACAATAAATCAGGGTACTATATCAGGTTTCAAGAACTTTGTCGGTCGTATTGTTGATAATTGCAGGTAAATCAGGGTACTATGTCAGGTTTCAAGAACTTTATCGGTCGTATTGTTGATAATTGCAGGTAAATCAGGGTACTATATCAGGTTTCAAGAACTTTATCGGTCGTATTGTTGATAACTGCAGGTAAATCAGATGAACATACCAGGTTTCAAGAACTTTATCGGTCGTACTGTTGATAATTGCAGGTAAATCAGATGAACATATCAGATCCGAAAACACTTTATTGGACGTATTGTGGATAACAGAGGTAAATTAGGGTACTATAATAACGTAAACTTTGAAATCCTATCAAGAACTGTGTTAACTATATTTTATAGAAATCCACAGAACAAATTTCTGAAAACAAATGCATTAACGAAATTCATTACACCTGTATTTATAAGTTGACACATACCTTTCCCATGGCCGTGAACGTCCGCTTTAAAATTATTATCACCTTCGATTCCGTCAGTCAACTGACCAAGCCCACCGTTGAGGTAGCTGTCGTCCTTGACCCCGTCATAAGTATTGTCAGACAGGTCAAGTTCTAGGCCACGCCTTTCCCCTTGAGGCATGGAGTACGAGATAATTCCTTCTGTTCGAAATAAATAAACCGTATTTTATTTATCATCACTATGAACATCGGTGTTCTAAGTTCGAACTAAATTGTGATTGAAGAAACTTTTATTGTTTGCCTTGAGCTCTTAAGTTAGACGTACAAGATTAGGAGTTGAATGGCTTAATTTAACACATCTAAACGTTTACCCAGATGACGCAAACTAAGTAGAAAAACAGCATAATGATAATAAAACTCCTGTAGTTTAATACGTATTGAAGAAAGACAAAATGTATCGTATCAAAATTCATTATTCACGACGCTTTGAACGTCAATGATGATGTATAATAATTATGTAAACTCTAGTCTTCGTATCATAGAATACTTTAAACATAAGGTAACTCAGTATGAGGATTACAGTTTGTTTTCGTAACCTAGGCAGCTTTAGGATTGTAACTACCACTTTTAACGCCTCGTTGGTCCGCTACTGAGTTTGTTAGGAACTTAAAATAAGTATATAAAATAACTAGAGTGAAAAGTGAGGACATTAGATGTATAAATTTGTTTTCTATTTATAGCAGTTCGAACTAGCTCCATAAATAGTCCCTTCTGACCCATTCGCTGTTAAAAGAAGACGGTAGTATCACTGAGTTGTTAACAACGTGGACCGGAAAACACGAATCTTTACTGCTCGGTAATAAAACTGATATTTGCATCCTCGTATCATTACTTTAAATTCTACAGTATCAACATCTTGATTTAAATATTCTATTTAACTACAAGCGATCTATAATAGCCAAAAACATTTACACGAAGGACAAAAAAAGAAAAGTACGAAGCAGGGATGTTTATGTATTACTTATTGGAAAACGAATCAGTGCTGAAGGTTTCTTTTTATTTTGTTAAAAGCATACTACCTGGTCGTTATCTTCTATCGCTTCACTTTAAATCACAAGAAAGTGAACAAAGCAATTCCGTTGGAAATGAGTTTCAAGAAGTGTCTTAAAAATTAAAACTTTATCGATCTCAACTCTTAAAGAAAGCTGCTGTAAAGTGAAAATTCTAAAAAATAAAATTTATTTAAAAGGGGCAGTAATTTAGAAACATATGATAAATCGGATGTGGCAAACCAGGTTCGATTATGTGGAATTACAACTAATAGCAGTGGATTCACAATTACAACTAATAGCAGTGGATCCAGAATTTTCGGTAAGGGGTGTGTATGTGCTCTTCCACTAGGTCATGAAACTTTTCGATAAAAATCACTTCATATATTATGTCTAAGGATATCTTTGTTTAGTTGTCCATCGGAAAATGGGGGGGGGGAGGATTGTAACTCCTCAACCCCACCTGGATCCACTAATGACTAAGACATTACATAATCTTTACTCGACCAATACTTGCACGTTGCTATGATTTTTCTGATGCAATCAAAAGTCGTATTTCTCGGTTTTACTAAACTCTGAGAAGATTTCTTTATCGAATTACCTGAACTCAGAGTTGTTGTTTTTTTTCCTAAAAAGGAATGTGGAAAGGAAGAGAAAAAGCTATTTATTATAATTTATTTTACAGAAAATCATAACCATATATTCTTTAAAGAAAGAAGTGATTAATTTCCCAAGTCAACTTTTTCTGGAGGTGTTGAAGACGGTAAATAATTTATAAAATTAAATAACACACTTTTATTTATTGTTTTTATATAAAATACGTGTTTTGAAAATAATGTCCAATGTTCTTAATTTTTGTGCTAAGTGCACATGAGATAAATTAATACTATGATTAATCATAAATTTTGTTTTTCCCAATGCAGGCTTTCGAATTATTACTAACTTTTAATCAAACCAAGCTACCTTCATACAGAAATATAGCTAAGTTAACATATTATTTTGTTTGTTCGTTGTTAAGCCCAAAGCTAAACAATGAGCTATCTGCGCTCTCCTCACCGGGGGTATTGAAACCCGATTTTTAGTGTTATAAACCCTCATACTTGCCTCTGAGCCATCTGAAAGATAATGTACTGTTCTTATCTTCTTACTTAAAGTGGGTTAATATTGTTAACAGCGCTGATAACTAACTGATGAAACAATGCTTTCTAATACTGTTCTTATCTTCTTACTTATAGTGATTAGAAAGCATTGTTTCATCAATTAGTTATCAGCGCTGTTAACGATATTAACCTGAACTAAAATCATAGGCTCATTAGTCCTTTGAAAATATCCATCAGTGGCACAGCGGTCAACTTGATGGCTTGTAACGTTAAAATTCGGGGCTAGAGAGTCCATTGTGTAGGTTTGCGAATAAACAAACATACAAAAAACATTTAAAATAGCATATCTGGGAAAACTGTTGAAGTCGACTTCAATATTCAGATCGTTAGAGCAACGGAATCAGTTCGTGGTAAGGTGTACTCCATGAATAATTTAACCCTAAGAACGTTGTGATACTGATTCCTGGCAACGTTCAATGACTTGCTTTCTCATTAGGCTCTTAAACAACCACACAGTAAGGGGCGTTCCTGAGAAACTCCCAGATGCTTAGGTCTTCATTACCATTCTGCCAAACACTAATCGGGTCTGCTCTGAGATACAAACAGCATTAACGTTACGATAAACTCGGACAACTTAACCCATGTATAGAACCCGAGAGTTCTATATAAGTTAAATGGCTTACGTTGTATAGCCCGCACTCTATGCATCGTAGACGCTAACATTTGTCCACCCTGTGGACTCATCTTCTCTGTTTCATATAACAAAAGAACATTCAGGGACACAATGATAGCGCTTTTATGAATTAATGAAACATTGTATATTTGATTGACTTATTGTATACTTCATTGAAGAAAGACCCTACAACCATATATCATCGGAATCAGTGTGAAAAACCCTTATCAAAATACGCCCATATAATCCCTGGGAATAGAAATAGCGGGCGTACCAAGTACACCCATATGGTAAGTAAGGGGTAAAATGATGTAACTTTGTGATATTTTCAGTGACGTGAATTGCACGGATTAATATAAAGTCACGCAATCGTGTAAGGTAGTGTTATTAACAGTATACATCAAGAAACTTTAGTAGCAATATTCTGGCAAGTGTTGCAGTAACAGATAGCTATACATAAAATAGTGGTTGACAGCTAAATAGATATGCACAGAGGTGATGAATGCAAGAACGCATAAAACATTAAATTGTTTTCGTATGGTTAAGTGAACAAACATAAACGTTATTACGCCGTTAAAAAACAAACACTAAAATATTCCTAATAAAATCAACCAAAGTAGTCAGACAACCTAAGGACAGAGTAATATGAAAATGGATATATATACTAATCAGATGATAGAGACATAGCTATATTAATATATGGATAGAAAGATAAGTAGGTGGATGAATGTTAAGTAACTTAAACAGACAAAGTAACGGACAGGTAACTGTAAAAACCAAGGGAAATATTGTTTATTTGTTTTGAATTTCGCGCAAAGCTACACGAGGTTTATCTGCATATATAAATCCATCAATATTTCACGGCCCGGCATAGCCAGGTGGTTAGGGCGCTCGACTCGCAATCTGAGAGTCGCGGGTTCGAATCTCCGTCCCGCCAAACATTCTCGCTCTTTCAGCCGTGGGGGCGTTATAATGTGATGGTCAATCCCACTATTCGTTGGTAAAAGAGTAGCCCAAGAGTTGGCGGTGGGTGGTGATGACTAGCTGCCTTCCCTCTAGTCTTACACTGCTAAATTAGGGACGGCTAGTATGGACTGAAGGATGAATATGTAGACAGATAGACAAGATGTACTAATAGACAGAATACTTATGACTAAATACGAGGATAGACATACTATGAGTATTAGATTAGAAGAAGGATAAACTGAGGTAAAGATATTTATGGAGGGAAAATATCATTAACTTTATCATTAAGAGACACATGGGATATAAGGTGTAAAAATGGTTATTTACCTGTCCAAGGACAGCCATAGACTTCAACGCGCATGCACACAGTACGAAGGAGAATGCTGTGAGGGACAAACCGTATTTTGGAAGCAATAATCAGAGGATCAACTTTTCGTTTGGCTGGAAAATAAGTATTTGTGTTTCCCTGGAGAATCTGTAAAAACACATACAACAAAGCAAGTTCAGATAGGAGAAAACGGAATATTTTCAGTCATATTACAGAAAAATATGCTATTCTGAGTTTATACTTTTCAGGAAAGACCTCTGTCTCTGATAAGAGGTGTAACAAATTAAAAAGTTAATAAATAAATATGGGAAGACTAAGTATCACTCCATAACCAAGTTTTAAGGGTTTAATTAATTAGGTCAAAAGTTAACGACCCAGAAACAATTAAACGAATCTCCCCCACAAACATTATATGGGAAACATATTAATAACACAGGCCTGCGATGGTTGTATTGTCATGATATTTTTACATGTTCTACAATAATTCCTGTACGCTGAATCCGAAAATGATATCCATTTTTCTCCATCACGTACAGAGTTTTCACAAAACGTCATAACGCAATACATAAAAGAAATACCACAATACATAGTTTTGAGACTAAAAACCGTACATTTCACACATACAAAACATCAGGATGAACGAGGATTCATATTCGTTTGACATCCGTGTTCTTCCCTTTTCTTCAGTTTGTTCACACTTTTGTTAACAAACATAATATTAAAAAATGTTCATTGTGGTAAACGAAATAATAATTTGATCTAAGTAAGAGTTTTTTTTTTCCCAATTTGTAAAAAATCCATAGTTGATAGTTTGTTTTTTGAATTTCGCGCAAAGCAACACGAGGGATATCTGCGCTAGCCGTCCCTAATTTAACAGTGTAAGACTAGAGGGAAGGCAGCTTGGGCTACTCTTTTACCAACGAATAGTGGGAATGACCGTCACATTATAACGTCCCCACGGCTGAAAGAGCGAGCATGTTTGGTGGGATGGGGATTCGAACCTACAACTCTCAGATTGCGAGTCAAGCGCCCTAACTATCAGGCATACCGGGCCAGTCAGATATAATTTAATGGTATCATTCTGTGTGAGATGGTTTAATCAGATTGCGAGTCGAGCTCCCTAATGCCATGCCGGGCACCCATACTTGATAGAAAAAAAAGAATATTATTTTCGAAATCTGCGTAGGTGAATTTTAGAAAATCTGTTATTAAAACCAAGATAACTTTTATGAAGTTTAAAATTCGCAGACCTGTGTAATTGTATAAATGGATTTAAAAATGGGTAACTTATGCCTAGTTTTTCAAGTGAATTTATTTAAAGAAATTCTGAAAAGCTTGATATTCAGAGACTAGCTTGTTATCAGTGAAAACGAAGACTACTGTTTCTTACCATATTTTACCACATAAATAAGTCTAGGTTAAAGGTTCAAACTTTTTTCTTGTTTTGAAATGCATTAAAATTAATAATATTCACTTTACTGGAAGTATGAGGCTTACGCCGATTAAACCTTACACATGTATGTTCTAGGTTTATCCACTGTATTTAAATATTGATTGACCTATTCTTTCATTCATCACTTAAACGTTTTTTATTTGTCAACATGTAACCAACCCGCTCTAATTAACTACACAGTCAAATAAATCTTTAAAATTATTTTCCTTTTTCTCATTTTAATTTGAAAGAAGCGACAATGACTAATCTAAAAACGCATCAGAAAGGAACTTGGAAAGCATCCAAGGAACAATTTATTTAGTAACTTAGGTTGATGAGGTCTCTGACAGTTTGCCCATTAAGGTACACATCCAAATCACAGAGACCTAAATTTGAATGATGAAACCAGGACCAAGAAAAATTAAAGGTATTATAACAAGGCTTATCTATCATTATTTAATTTCTGTAGTACATATTGGTGTATAAAAGACATTTTAATACCAGAAATAAACGACTTTATAACACCAAATGTTTTATTTTTCTTAATTGGAAACTCAACGTTTCGCCTTACGGCTTCTTCAGGAGCGTTTGAGATTTAGGGGAACGCTCCTGAAGAATCTCTACAGTGATACGTTGAGTGTCCAATTTGAGAAAAATAACAAATTTGGTGTTATAAGGTCGCTTATACTAATATTAAAAGACTTATGTATGACCAAACCGTTTAGGTTTAAATAGTCTTCTATTTTTTGACACTTATATGTTCCCTCTGAATTTCCATTTCCTTGCCATGTGACCGTGTGGCATTAATGGCTCAAAGAATGACAAAATAGAGACCTAATAAATCGCTCCATCCTGTCCCAATCACGCCATAGTAGTAGTTCCTTATCATGACATTAGTGCTAGCGGGATTAGAAAATAAACAATCTCTGTACCTTTCTGACATATTAGTATTAAAATAAATTAACAAAACTTAACTTGAATTATTTTAAAAGAATCTGTGAGGTTTGTGTACCAAGACTTACTGAGAGAGAGAGAGGAGGGGATGTGCTTAACTTGAGAGGGAAATCTGAATGTCAAAATTCATGTGGTTATTTAATATTCTTAACTCTTTATGTTGAGATTTTATTGTTATTTGCTTGTCATTACTTAGCTCTTGAAACGTGAAACAGGTGACTCCAAACGCACTAATTCTTTCCAAGTAGTAAGAGAGATTCCAGTCGCAAAATATATTTTCTTGGCATTTAATAAGTGGAATACACCACAGTTTAACTTTGTTGTTAATGATATTACTAAACCATTTTCAATTTAGGGGGCCTTCGCCTTGTGCGAGAACAAAATTTCTGTCATCAGCTCCATTTATTTCAATATTTGTCTTCGGAAAAATAGTTAAGATGATGAACAGTCCTTCAGTGGTAAATATCTATGAAGGCTCATCCAGTTTAGTCAGGACTGAAACGGTCTAGGTAAGTACTGAAGATCGTTGAAACATCGGCGCTTCTACGCGAGTTTATGTTAAGCTATTCATGCCAAATGATTATGTTTATGTGTTAACAGCTGGGAAATAGTTTAGATGCAAGATAACTTTCAAGTGTTCAGATATGAAGAATAAGCACGTGAATTTATTATTTTGCGAACTTTAAATATTTGACTTTGTTTTTTGTTAGGGGACATCTGACTGTGCAGTACCTAATACTTAGACACCCTCAGTACAGGTATACTGCAATTTCTTATAGATTATGGGGAATAAGATTTATCGCGTTGAAACTAAGACTTCCTCAGATAGTTTCACGACCTTCTGTGTCTGTTCCAGCAGATTTTGTTAGAGCACTTATCCCGTAAATCCTGTTAGGAATGTACTTTCTAAGATGGAAGACACGATAACTGCTTCCTATGTCCTAATGGAGCCTTGCCTTACTGAGGACGAGTTTGTAGAAGTTCGAACCATATCCACTTTTATCTTTCTGAAGATGTGTGCATCATATTGATTTCAACGTAATTGGATGTAAACGTTAAATGTTACTCCCCTCTACCCCCACAGAAGCATTAGACGACCAATACAACAAATGAATTGCGCCGCAGCTGGAAGAAGGAAGGAACAGAACTTATGGAGCCATTACTGGAGGTCCCACGAGTGCAATTAGTCGTTTGGTATAGTTTATACTGCAGTCATGAAATTAGGTCGTTGATTTGGTAAACGAATATGTCATCCTGATACAATACTGAGTTTCTTAGGAATGGTTAAATGAAAAATAATGTTACTGAAAACTCGAGATAACTTAATATATTGTTGTAATGAATCATAAAGACATAAATACAGAACAGCTTTTGAGTTACTGTAGGGACTTGAAAATTTATAACTGAAAAAAAAAGAACTTACAATATTGTCAGTTAAACTAAACTTCGTAAATTTTATCCAATATTTATAAAAGTTTGTCATGTTGTAAAATCATGTTTATGAGTAACAACGCTAAAATCAAACTGCTACAGCATGTTTCGTTATTTTGCTAAAGAGCACGAGGACTTTAGACTGAAGACGATTTTTCTTTGTTTTTGTTTTCAAATTCGATGACGAGGAACCCACTTTGAGACTAAT